GGCAGGTGCTTTGGCACAGAGTTTAAAATAGTGCCCAGCACGTAGTGGGTGCTCAAAAAATCCCTGTTGAAGGCGGACGCAGTGCTCGCCCTGTAACCCCAGCACTCTGAGAGGCTGAGGCGGGAGGATCGCTTGAGCCCAGGAGTCAGAGGTCGCTGAGAGCTATGATGCCACGGCCCTCTACCTAGGGTGACAGAGTGAGACTCTGTCTGAAAAAATATAAATAAAAACAAGCACAATAGAGGCAGAAATATCTGGAATTAAGACAATACCAGGAGCAGGCTGGGTTTGTAAACCCCATAAATACAGGCTCCTCGTCTGAGAAAGGGCCTTGGGTGCACAATGGAGACTGTGGCCACCAGTCCCTGTGGCTGTGTCTAGTGGCTCCAGAACCCCCAAATATTGATCTTACCACCAGCAACCTCCATGGGGGTCTCCTGTTGAGCACCAGCAGGCAATTAGTGAATCTTCCAGGACTTCTGTCCATGGCCACTGGTCTGCCAATTCAATACAGTTCAATACAGCTGCTTATAATGGAGCATAAGGATCACTGCAGGAAGGGGGACCACGAGTGAGGTGGCCCAAGCCCTCCCTTGAGCTGCTCCAAGTCACATAGATGGCAGCTGAGTAAGGCAGATCCCACGAGAAGGCACGAGCCAGGGAGCAGGTGGGCTGGCGGGAGGTCTTGCTCCCATACAGAGATATTTGTCAGGCACCTCAGAAAACTCAGGTTGGAGGTGGGGGGTGTTCACTTGGATTGGGGTCCTTCTCTGGGCCTAGTTTTAGGATTCCAGAAGCAGTGCTTTTGTGAGACACTAGATTGTCTGACAGTATCACCTGAACGCATCCGCCAGTTAGGGATCGGGCGCTGGTGTGTTTGCCGCAAGAACACAGTTAATTACCTTTTCTCCCCAGTGGCCTCTAGCGTCAGGCCAAAGACCTTTATCACGTCTCTTTGATACTGAGATTCCTGGGGAGCCCTTGGACCCAGCTGCAGGGGTAGAAGACCGAGGTGGTTATCCAGTGTTACCTGAGGCCCACTCAGCTCTCACAGGTGTTGACTTGGGCTCTGGACAGGACAAGTGACCTTTGTCTCCGTTCCCAGCTATGAGACCACCTCGAGTGAGGAGACCAGCGGTGAGGACAGCTCCCCAGAAGACTTGTCTGACAGCGAGGCTGAGAAGAAGGGTGACAGCCTAGAAGACAGGCAGACCAAGGCCGTCCCCCCTGGCTGTGAGGCTGGGCAGGGCGTCCCCCACGCAGGCCAGGACAGTGGGCCTGGGGATGAAGTCCCCCACTCCAAGGCTGAGAGGTGAGTCAAATGAGTACCAGCAGGGCCAACTGGTCCTCTTAAGAAGGACGTATGTCCACTCTCTCGTTTATCATTTGTTAATCTGTTCATTCCTTTGTCACCTTCGTGGCACTTACTGTCATAGTCAGAGTCTACATCTAAACCACATTTATCTGGCGCTGCAAATGGGACAGACTTTACTGGTGTCATATAACCCTTCCAACATCATTCCAGGCAGAGATTATTATCACACCCACTTTATAGATGAGGAGATAGAGGCTTAGCTGTGACACAGCTCACAGGACGGGGATCTCAGCCCACTCTTTCTGATTCTTATCCACGAGTTTTTATTCCTCTCCCATTGGCCATGCTGACGTAACCATGTCTTTCAAAGAGATGGCAGTCCTGTGGCATCATGAGAAGAACTCTGCCTTTGGGGTCAGACACGCCTGAATTCAAATCCCACCTCTGACACAGTATCCTTTAGGCAAATTTCTAAAGTTGTGGGTGATTTGGTTTCCCTCCTCTGTAAAATGTGGGTGATACCAACCCCAAAAAGCACGATGTAGGCACTGAATGAGGTCAGGCAAGTAGCATCTGGCACAGTGCCTGCCACTCAGGAGGCGCTTAGTAGAGGCAGACATAAGATGGTGTGGTGGCTGACACCTGTAATCCCAGCACTCTGGGAGGGTCACTGAGTTCAAGACCAGCCTGAGCCAGAGTGAGATCTCGTCTCTAAAAATAGCTGGGCGTAGTGGTAGGTGACAATAGTCCCAGCTACTTGGGAGGCTGAGGCAAGAGGATCACTTGAGCCCAGGAGTTTGAGGTTGCTATGAGCTATAATGCCATGACACTCTACCAGGAGTGAGACTCTGCCTCAAAAAAAGAAAAACAGTCCCATTGTCATCCTTATCGCCATCCCCCGCCTGGTGGCCAAAGGACTGCGCAACAGTGGATGGGAGCTGGCTGTCACACAGGTCCACAGAGCTGCTTCAACACAGCAGTGCCATAGGACACGAGGGCTTCTTAACGATCGTTGTCCCTGAGTCCCAACTGAGGCCTCTTGGTGCCAATTCTGTCCTCACACTAACGCAGGAGTGCTTGTCACTGTGGACACCTGCCTTACTGACTCTGCTAGACTTACAGTGTCTTTCATCGAAGAGAAAACTGAAGAAATTTGCTGGTGGGATTGGTTGTTTGGATTTTTAAGTTACCCAGGCAGGAAATGTTTCTAGTCACCCCTAATCAAAAAGACAGCCCCCCGTTTTCTGGCCTGTCAGGAATTACACTCGGGCCCATGCCCACCACCGTGGTTACCTGCTCTGGCCCCTGACAAACGCAGGACAAAGTGGTCAGTGTGCTTGATT